CTGCAGCCATGAATAACAAGACATTGCTTGAGGGTTTCGATAACTCCCTTGCCGAACATTTTGAGGGTTGCCTTACGTCTTTGTGTCGGTCATTGGGCCTCCAAGATGTTGCAGACAAAACAGGCGCGGTTCCCGAAGTTGAGGACGAACTTGACGAGGACGATATTCAGTTTCTGCCGGTGGACGACGAAGATGATGACGACGCTTCGTTGCAGCCTGAGGTAGGCGACGCTGCTGAGAATATCAAGAAAAACACGAAGACTCAACGATCATTCATGACGTGGTGAGGAATTCAGGAGAACATCTCTGCTGCCCATCTGACTTCTTTGCAGCTGGCGAGCTTTGTCTTCGCGTGTATACACATCCCGCAGCCGTCGACCATATACGATGTTCCTCTGCCTGATGTGTTTGTTCAACGAGGAACTCCCTTGGCACTCTACCAAGCACAAGGATCGAGGACGCCTGTTGTATGTATACCAATATATTCTGTTTTCGTTCACTGACTCGAGCGATTTAGCCACACCTATCAAGCAAAGCACATACGTCAACACGTCCTTTCTCATTTCACAAATGCGGGCGAAGTTTCGGGTCTTGATTACTCTCGTCAATTTCGGTGCAACATGCCCGGCTGTGACAGCGATAAAGTGTATGTTCCTTGTATTGATTGCCTCAGGCTTCACCGCACACTCACTGATCTTTCTTGGTCATGATTAGGATGCTGACGAAAGATATGATTGAGCATCTGCACAACAAGCACCGCTTCCGTCTAATTCAATGCAACGAGAACCATGAACATCCGCCAGACGAGCATCTCTCTTTGCCGAACGGATTTCGCTTCCACTTGGATGTGGAATTTGATCATATGAAGGCAGGACGTGCGATTGATAAGGCATGCCTCGTGGACGTTCGCAAGACAGAGGTTGTACGTGCTGCCCACAGGAGACTGGCTGAGATGCATGCGAACGAAAGCATAGAGGTGGTGTCAACAAGCTCCGAGTCGGACATAATCATGGAAGATGGGGCGAAGGTTGCAAGTGGTGAGTATCCAGTCAATGACACTAGTACCATGAGTTCTCACGTTTCTTGCAGCGACCCCCGCGTTGAGAATGCTAGATATGTCAGCAGGGCTTCTCCCGGTTCGACATCAAATAAACAAGTTCATGGCAAGGTCGGCATTGCGGGTACGCACCCTGCCGGCCAACCATCCAATTCGTGCTTGGTTACCGGACTACTGGAAGGTCAACCAACACAATTTCACGGCGCCATTCCCTATGATGAGTCCTACAGACTGCACGGCATCGCCCCTCAAACCTGTGGACATATTGGGACGAGCGTCCTCAGAGGAATTCTCCCTATTACATGACGAATGCCGCCCAGGGTTTAGACTCCTGGATGTCTTTCCAGGCAGGATCAAGTGGCATCTCGCTGCTCCACACAAGTCATCAGACGAGTTTGAGGAATGGTATGAACACACATTCCTGAGGCAGGTGCACGAAGCTTGCAGAGACCCGATGGCGGTCCTCATTGCCACTGATGGGTCTGCAAGTAAGGAGCGTGGGGGAGCCGCCGCTTCAGCCTTTGTCGCATACCTCCACGGCAGGCACATTGATCATGGGTCTGTCCCAATCGGTAAAGCAACACCTTATGACGCGGAAGTCATGGCAATCGCCATGGCCCTTAAGAGAACTATAAGCAAAATACGGGATGAGGTCACGACCATCCACCTCTATGTCGATAATAAAGCTGCCGCCTCCATGGTTGGCGACACTTCGGCGGGACCGAGTCAACTCGCTCGCATCCTGATAGCAGAGTCCATCAGATCCTACCTGATGGAGTCCGAGGCCAACACCCTTGAGGTGCACTGGTGTCCAAGTCATCGAGGATTCGTCTTGAACGAATTTGTTGATGCTGAAGCAAAGAGGGCCTTAGAAACGGGCGATTGTCCGGATTTTGTGTCATACTCGTACGCCAGATCTCAAATCACCCGCAGGGCAGTACGAGCATGGAGGCGTGCGATGCGGGCAGAAGAATACAGGGGGAGGCATAACCTGCTTCCCAAGAAAGTGTGGGACAAGATGACACACACCGCGAAGCACCACCCCATCCTCAAGCTGGCCGGGGGAGACAACCGACTGATGGCGAAAATCGTACGCTTCGTGTTGGGACATGCTCCCACAGGTGAGTTCAGACTTCGGTTTGATCACATACCTGGTCCAACATCATGTTTGTGCGGCGCGAGGGTAGAAACCTTCCGTCACATAGTAGCGGAGTGCCCCCTGTGGTTGCGCAAGTGGCCGATACGTAGCCGACAAATCGAGCATCTTATCCGGCTCGATCCCTTCCCCGAGATCGTATGGTTTTTACGCATGAACCCGTTGGTCGCCTCATTCGAGCTGCTCGATTGGCGGGAAAAGGCGGAGCAGGAACTTGCTCAAGATGTACAGGATGGACCATACCTCACGCTCATACGCAGGGCAACTGTGCTCAGGGTGCGGGAATGGTCAACACTGAGGGGGCCCTTAGAGGACCGAGTGGAAGCATTGAAGTGCTACGACAAGCAGATCAACTTACCCATGTGACGGAACCACGCCAAGGTTCACCAGATAACGGGGGGTCACACCCTGATCAGAGCTTGGCGAGAGCTTGCACGTAGAACCCGCCTTGATAGGGCAAGTCTATCCATTCTACTGTACCTAAACCGCTCATGTACTTACAGTACGCGGTATATAAAAGTGAGGAATAAAAAAAAAAAAAAAAGACCCCCGCGTTGAGCGATCACGATTCAGCATCTATGAGTATTCGTTCAGGTAAGACAAAAATCTGAACCTCAATGTAATCTATACTCACGCAGCTCTCAGAGCCATCTGCCATCCATCAGGACCTGACTGATGTTCTCGTCGCTCGCTTCTACACCATGCCAAATCCTACCAGTGGCATTGAAGATCTTCGCGAACGCCTCCGCGTGCAAGATGTTGGAGTTGAAACCTTTCTGGATGCAGATATCACAACCTTGAACTTTTTGAAGCAAGGCCTCGACCTCACGCTTGGGAACGTCATCGCTCTTTCCAAGATTGCAAAAGAGATCGCCAGCCCGTAGATTATGAGCCCCGCCGCTGGGCGTGCACAGAATTCCTTTCTTGATAGTATCACTCCAGCACAAGATTGTACTGTATATCGTGTAAATGATTCAATTGATGTTCTTGACGAACTTAAATTAGCTGATTGGTGGACAACCTCACAACTGAAATCTACGAAGACTCCTCCGTACTATACTATGCCCCCCGTTTGACCGATTCCTGTACAGCTGTGCAACCGACTCTCTCGAAAAGACACTTGCAGTTGACAACGCGAAAAAGGAGATTGAATTGATGCCAGCTCAGTGAGAAGATGAGCCGCTGGCAACGCACACTAGCAAGACTGAGGGAAGCTGAGGCAGGAAACAGCGCACTGTGCTCAGCGCGTTATGTTCCACGCTAACAGCTATTAAGAAGCTATCGAAGGTGCTGTTATTTGAATTCATGACCTGCACTGGTCCACACATGCGTGGAGATGATGTATTCTAGCTTACTACGAAGTGCCTGCAATATGTATATCTACAACGGGGTCCACTCGGGAGGGTATTGATGCAAGAAATGTCTGACATGAGCGGCGCAAGGCTCACCGGAGAGAACACGAGCGATGGCGATGGCGGCTTTGCCGCCACAGCGATGAAGGTTGCGACGAGTCTCGGCTGCTGTGTACTGTCCATCTTCGCCACGAGTGCCGGGGAGGTGGGTTGCAATGAGGTCAACGACTTGGCGAAAGTCAGCGGTATGTCTGCCGGCAAGGTTGTCAACATTCCAAAAGGGATCAACAAGGACGCCTGCGCCAAACTGCAAGGCGATGTGAGGGTGTGCATGCATGAGCGTAACTGTGGGGGACTTACTGTATTGTAGAGGTGGAGGAGGCGGTTCCGGGCAGTGACCTTTCGTTCTTGTTGGCGGCGCCAGGTGGAGTACTCTGTCTTGAGGTCGCCGGAGAGAAGGTTTGCGATTTCGGCATCGCCGAGATCAATGGAGACATTGGCTGTGCGGAGAAAGGTTGTCTTGTAGAATGTATTTTTCCAGTTTCTGCTGCCAGAGCCCACGGTGGCGGACCAGTCGGACGCAAACTTGATGGCCTCGATGGAGTGAAACAAACGATTGATTGCATTGGAAGCCAAATTTTGACCGGTAATTTGACTGAGGATCTGGAGGGGATGAGTGTGAAGGGCAGATCAAGGAGTGTGCAGACAGACATTGTGACGGCAGTATACACGCTCTTGATGATTTGTAAGGGTATCGGCCTCACGCGAGGGGGTGCTTATGGATGAGACAGAGAGGGAGAGTTGGGCGATGTCCCTGAACGCCTCGAGCTGTTGTATTGTCAGGCACCGCGAGTGCGCGGGGGGATGAAAGAGTACCAACATAGTCTTCGTCGGGACGACTTTTGAAGGAGCGGAGGAGGATACCGAGTGCACGATCCTCGGCCTTTCGGGAGCTCTTTGGAGTGGGATCAGGGTCATAGAGCGGGCGGATTTCCGATGGCAGCAGGTAGGGTTCATGTATATCAGCGAGAACGGCACCCGCGCGGTCTTGAACAGCCAAGGAGCGGTCGCCAGGAGTATTCTCATCAGCATCAGCAATAATGTCAGCGTTAGGAGTGCTAGCTGCAGGAGTGCCAGCGTTGTTAGCACAGTCAGCGGGGTTGGCGGGAAGGCGGGAAACAATATTGAAGAGCATAGGACGGAGACGAAGGACATTGGGATCAGCCAGTATGTTATCATCCAGCTCGGAGAGAATATTGGTGAGACGAAGCATGAGCTCAATGGCGTGCTCGACAGACATGGCGGGTGCATATTAAGGGAAGGGTGTAGGGTAAGTCAAGGTCGTTGACCGTCGCGATAGGAGCTCACGTGAGTCGGGAAAAAGAGGGCAATGTTGTGGAGGAAAAAGGGATGCCCGCAGCAAGGATCGAACTTGCGACCTCAGGATTGCAACCTTAGGAGTTGTCATATCACGTGATATGAGACCTGCACTCTAAACCAACTGAGCTATGCGGGCACTGACAATGATCCAAACAGATGCAACTGGATGTATGCGCTGTACACTTATGGCATACCTTCTCCCCACTGCGCCGCTCGTACTAGTGTTGCCGCAAGATGAGATGGAAGACGTCTTGAGACGATTTAGACGCCTGTACCAGCCGGCCTCAAGAAGAGAGTGGGTTGGTCTTAAGACGTCTTAAGATCCTCGGGGCAATCGGAAAGCAGTGTCGGGGATGCTCGGATTACTATATACGGTATGTTTGTCGCCGGAGTAGTCAAGTTCGTTTACAGGTCATACTCCTCTCGCTGGACTCCATTGCTCAATGATTATCTTCCAAGCTCTCGTCACTGAGCAACTATTTAATAGCAATAATAACTTCTAGGGCTCCAGGGTTCAAATCTGACTCTAGCCAAGTTATAGCACGTCAATATACAAAACTGATACAGAAAAACAATGCCGCGATTTCATAGTAACCCCAACATTAGTATATAGATGTATATAGATAAGTATACTAGATGTGCTCAACAACGAGTATAACTACTAGTGAGCTCCCTGACTATGAAACAATTCAAGGTGGCAAGTGCAAAGCGGCATGGATAGGAAGGGCGTGGAAAGCCTTTTGGTGATCTGTCAGTATGTTTGACGCACGGCACAAGCGAATAAACTCAAGGATGCGTGAGTTCACCACTGGATTTGGCGGGACTTGTGTGGTGGAGGACAATCTCAAGACATCTTCACGATGAGATCACCATGTCTGAAGAGCGGGTGAGACTGCTTACATAACGAAGATGGTCTCAAGACGTCTCCACGATGTCTCATCTTCGAGGCAACACTAG